TTTTTTTTTTTGTTTAAGTATATTTTGACAAATTAAATTAATTTACACGAGGAAGAAATATTTTATGAAATATGAAAAATAAGAATTAAATAGAAACGAAGAATATAATGTAATTAGAAACTTGCTTGTGTTGCAGAATCCTTGCGGGAATCAGTATTTGGTAGTGTGTAGTTCAAGAAATTCTTGATTTCTTACTGTTTCTTTTCTACTTTAAGATGAAATAAATAAGCACTTCTTGTCAAACAAGCAATGAAAATGCACCAGTTTTTGATTTGTATGTTACATTGATACTATATATAAAAAGAAATTGTTTAAAAGAATACAGAGGTAGTAAAGTTTTTATTACTTAAATGAATTAACAAACTACTATATAACAACTAAATTTTAAACTGCGCACTTGTCTGCTTCAGACAGGTTCAAATAAGTTCATAGACTTATTAAATTCACCCACCACAGTTCAAACAAGTTTACAAACTTATTAAATACATCAAAATAAATTTATAAGCACATTTAAAGCAAGTTTATTGTTTTAATTAAATTTCATTATTATTTTGCTATTAAAGAAATCATAACAACTTGAGCAAATTTTACATTTTCAACACATTTTTGTTTAATATTACTTACTCTAATGGTTGCTATTCTTAATATTCAGTAATGTACCACAAAATAGTATAACATATTTTGATATATTCAATGAGTTTATTATTTAATTTAAAATTTGTACTACCTTTATTATTTTGTTCTCGAAAAAGGTACGTATATTTACTTTTATGAAGCAGACCAGTAATAAAAATAATATGTTTTATCAGTAATTATCAATTTTATTGTTAGTGTACCGCACTGTAATGATATTAATATTTTACTTGATTTGTACTAATTAAGTAAAAATAATAAATATTTTTATTACTTTCGTCTGTTTTCTTAATTCATATTTTTCTTTATATTACCTTATTGCTATGTTTATCATTTTTGGTAGATATACAGCAATACATTATAATAAAGATGTTCAACTACAATACAGAAATGATACCTAAATATTTATATATTACCTAAATGCATTAATAATACCTAAATATCGATGTAGTACCTAAATGCAGTAATAATACCTTTTTTGATTTTATTATGTGATATCATTGTATCTAAAGTAAGTTATTCATTTCTTCTTGCAATCAAAGTAAGGAATAGTAATTTTCTTGAGATCAACGTGAGAATGAAATTGTTCAAGAGCATCAAGAATCAAGTCAGTTCTAATTCTATTTTAAAAACAATTTAGAACATTCAATGCATATTTGATCTAACTAATCACTATAAATTACTGTAATCAAAGTAAGGAATCTCTCTGATATTAATTTAAGAATAAAAAACTGTATATAGTCAATTTCATGACTGGATACATGAAATAGCATCATTATTAGATTTAAACTTGGGTAAAATGAACCGTAAAAGATTCATATACCAAACTGATTTTTATTATAGAGCTCATCTCTATTACATGAATACTTTGTTTCAGAGAAGACGAAAATGTCCTCATTAAGTAATCCCAGTTCACGTTGGTTCCGTCAACTTTTTGCAGTACTTACACTTGCGGTTGTAATGTGCTTAGCAATTCCGATGAGTAAGTATGATCCATTTTTAATGGATGAGCCGAGTCATCTTATCTCAGAGTTCACTCCATTCTTCAGAGATTCGATTGACAGTAGCGCTTTAGCAATGAGTAACATTACTGCATTAGCTCGTTCTAAACGTAGCTGTTGTGGTTGTTGTTGCTGCTGCTGTTGTTGGTTAGTTAGTCTTTAATTCTAATTAAAGCTTGCAGATATCTCCTTTTTTAATGCACAACAAGATTGCTTACTAGATTAAACAAATTTTAAATTACCGCTTTTTTTTTGTTTTTTCAACTTATATGCTTTGTAAACAAATATGTATCAAAATTATACATATCATTACATTCCACGTAAATTAAATTTACAAGTGAAAATTAATGAAATGACGTTTAGATACGTCAGTTTAAAGTTATTGCATTGGTGCGAAACTAAAATGGTAGTGTAGAAAGAGGAAAAGAAAGACGTGTGTGGTCTCATATGTGTCTGTAATACATTAAGAATGAAATCAGTAGTTGTGACACAAATCATTTGAATTTGTCTGCGTGTATTATTCTGCTGACAAATGCCATAAATCACATTTCAACTGAAAGCAATCAAAATTAACTTGCATTTCTACAAGAAAAAAGTCAGATTTAGGAGGGAAAAAAGAACTACCAAATATATTGGTACTCAAAAAGAAAACATTTATTAATTTTAATTCTTTTAGTGTAATTAATTCTTTTGACTAATACAAAAATAAATGAGTAGTAATTGCAAAAAGTAATTAAAAACACTTACAAATATATATTTTCTGTATTTAGCAAAAAATCTGTGTTAGTTTTTAGTTAATTTTGGGTTAGTTTTTAGTTAGTTCTAGATTAATTTTTAGTTAGATCTTGATTTGTTTTAGGTTAGTTTTTAGTTACTTCTAGATTTGTTTTTAATTTGTTCTAGATCAGGTTTTTGAAGTTAGTTCTCAGTTTGTTTTTTAGTTATTTCTAGTTAGTTTTTTAATTATATTAGATTAGTTTTTTAATTAGTTTTAGGTTAATTTTTTTATATATTGTTAGTTATTATGTTTATGTATACTATTACTGTTCATGCCAAATTTTAAATACTGATAGAAGTGAAAAATTTTTGTAGTAATATTGTTATACAGTATTTTTGAAATTACTTTTTTTGTAAATATAAATTATAAATGATTACAAATGATAAAATGTATCGTTTAGCTGCTGTTGTTGTGGCAAAAAGAAAAAACGATCTACGGAAGATGCGGATAAAAAGCATCATTCACTTTCCAAACGTCGCCGTGCTCTTCATGACTTAGAACGCTGGAATTATATGCAAAATACAAAACGCAATGTTCGTAGTGCACTCTTAGCATTAATCTGAAAGATTACATTGATAATCACTATTGTGTACTATATTATAATCTTGAAGAATATTTACGCTAAATGAATTGTAATTCAACGTGGATATAATTATCAGTTCAACGTGGATAACTCAACATCGATATAATTTTCAATTAATGCTAAAATTTCATACTTGACGTTTTGATATGATTATGATGTAATTGATAACATTACTATTATCAATCATTATATACCCATATCTTATTTTATAAAATTGTAATATCAAAACATTCACTTCACTGCTAATCTCATTAAAACATGTTTGTAAACAAAATTTCTATGCATATTAAGTGATTAATTAAAATATTGATAATTAGTTGATACATTGTTACAATTTTTTGCACGTAAAACCAAAACTGTTGCAGAAAAAAACAAAACAATGTTTTAATAACTTTTTTGTTTTTTTTGCACTTATTTTCAAAAAAAAAACGAAAAAGCCAAAAAAACAAGTAACAATTACTGATAATGTATGTACAGATTTCAATGCTTGACAATTAATACATTACTGCAATTATTTTGAGAACAATGTTGTAAAAGAAAAGATTTTTAATAACTTTTCAGCATTAATTTTATCAAAATGAAAAAACCAAAAAAGCCAAAAAAAACCAAAAAAACAAGTACCAACTAGTTATAAAGTGTATGTACACATTTAAATGCTCGATTTTGCTGATTTATGAAAAAAAATACTCCTTCAAAAGCTAACAAACTTAATTTTATCATTTGCATTCAGTGATTAAAATTGATGCATTCTGTCAACACTTCATATCTATCCATTTTCGGGAATCTGGAGGGAAGGATATTTGAATGATTCTGAATTCTTTCTCCCAAAAATTTCACGAAATTATTGCTTCACAATTATTGATAAAGTTAGTTAGTTAATAATGAGAGTAAACAAAAAGCTGTAAAATCTGAGAAAAGATTTTATATTCATTATTTATGAATTTTTTTACT